GTCGTCTCGTTCCAAGCCGTACACGTTGACAGACACGTTAGGGTTTCGTCGCTCAAATATTTTAATTTGGGACACAGGTGTGGGGAACGTCAACCCCGTGAAATCATACATGTGTTCCTCGTTAAAATATTTTCGATCAACGCGATACTTGTGGTCTCCCTCGACGTGTCTCGCCAAAATGGACCACTTGAAACAAGACTGATCGATATTCTGTGGGTTGATGATTGCTTTTCTTTGGTTAATCTCTGGCGGGACAGGAATATATGATGAGCCGGCGAGGGGCGTATACTTGTATACGCTGAGCATAAGACCGTCGATATGCGTTAGCGTGAATCCGCTACCCCTACCCGAGTACGCGTCTTCCTCGGCAAGCATAACCTCAAAATCTTCATCGACCGCACACCCGATATCTGTATCGGATAGCAATGCCCTAGCCCGTGTCTTGAAGGCACGGTCTTCGGACGGTGCTTCTGATCGAGGTATATGGTATGAGGCCTCCAATTTGAGATTATACTTGATCGGACGGTTACCTACGATTTCAGCGAGTCTGGCCACCAGCTCAGGTTTAACGGCGCGCAGAAAATCTCGATAGCTCGCGAAATTGTCCACGTTCTTCCGGTAAAACCAAACGGCCCCCCGCTCCAAGGCGGAATCGATTTTGGTGAAATCACGGGTATCCGTCAATTGCATACGTAACCTTTTCGATCTAACAGCGCTGTTGTTGGCCCTACTACGCTTAGCCGCCTGATGTGACGAAACAGATGTAGCTTTAATCAAAAATTGTGTAAAAACAATTTGTACGTCGAAAATATCGAAATATACAAACAAAAAAACTTACCTTGTGCAGCACCAGTAAAATATACATCAGCCATTGTTATTCAATTTTAAATTTAAAAAAAAAAAATAAATAAATAAATACTAGTACTTGTATACGTTTAACTGAATATTTTTAAGCAATATGTTAGCGAGCCGCTAATAACGCTTAGTCAAAGAGTGAATATAATCATTATTGATGTCTTTATAAATACGGATTGTTACTGTATTATCCGCTGCATCAGTGATGTCGGTGCGCGGTCATTAATCGCAAAAGTACATCNTGGTGGTGCGCGGTCATTAATCGCACAAGTACATCGTATATCGCGAGCATAATGACCAAAGTATATCAAGTGGTCTGAGAAAAAATATTCAGGTTTCTACATGTTATACAGCACTTGTTACATTTTTATAAACGTCATCCAAGACAATTAATTGATAAATTTGTAAATTTGTCATTTGTAATGGCGCGAAAACATTCAGTCTTAAAGTGAAATGTTTACACATATATGTCATTAGGATTTAAAACAGATGCCTTTGTAAAAATTATGACCGTCTGCCGTCTCTAATGCGTTGACGGATGAAGAATGCAATCCTTCCAGTCGAAGCTATTATTTTATTAAAAATAATTTATTACAGTTGTTAAATACGGTAATAATTTATAACAATGGGAGGGATACCAGTAATAATTCAGACAAAATATATATGTACGACATTAATCGATAAGTATAATACAGATTATAATAATATTATAAACATTATAATATATATGTTCCAGTGATTACGTCGTCGTCGTCGGCGGCGGCGGCGGTAGTGTTTATTTAAGAATGTGTTTTGCTATAAGAAAACTTGAAAAGTCGTCATTAGTATATATTGTCTAAAAAAAAAAATATTGATTTATTATTCACTATACGAATAACGGTCAAGCTTATTAACTCGTATAATAACAATTAATCTAATTGACGGCGACATCGCCGACGCCGTCGCCGCCGCGTTGGGCCATCTGCTGTATTAATCTCAAGTGCTATAGTGTAATCATCAATACAGCCATCTGGCACACAATGTTTCGAACTAATTTTTTTTTTTCACAAATTAGGTAAAATTAACATTTTACGTATGGACTTTATCTAAATATATGCATGTGGCATATCAAAATAGCGGATTCGAAATTAAAAATTGTACTTTTCACCGTAACCGTATAGCTTACCTGGAAAATGCATTTTTTTTTTTTCGTCAAAAAACCGATATTATGTATATATGGGCGAGCATAATTTAGGCGCGTGACAAGTTGTGTTAGTTTACGTCGTGTTTCATTTCCCCCCCCTCCCACCAATAGTTTTGTTTACCTTAAGTTTCATTACCCCTCTCTCATAAGACTTGGAGGAGGAGGTTCTTCTTAGGTTAGTTTACGTTGGGTTACATCATCGTCCCGTTTCGCTGCGTTACAGTGTCGGCGTGATCGGGCTCTACGGGGCTACGAAACGTCGGCACGAGCGCAGTTTCCCTAGCTCGGGGAATCGGGCGCGTCCTCAGGTTGCGGATAGAGGAACGGCCTGCAGATATGTAGGTTAGCCGCGAAATAAGCAGTCCATTCATTTGGACTGACGAATAAGCGGTCGCGGACAGCGAGCCGCCCAAACGCTTGTTAGCCTGTAGATATACAGGGTAGCCGTGAAATAAGCCTTTATGGACGAATAAGCCGTAGCGTTTGGGTGAGAATGGAGCACCATGGACCACGCAACCAGTGAATTGGCCACTCACTGGCCGAAGGGACCGGCTATGAGGGCAGCCCCCTCAAAAATTATTTTTATGAATAATGGACAAAAATGGATTGAAGGTTACTGCATCAGGGGATTCGGATGCCCCAGTGCCGGCGGTTGGTGGGGGGTGTACCCACCAGGTGTCGCTCAGATCAACTGAATACACGGTAAATGCAGGAGTGTTGAGGCAGGCTCCTGCAGCCAACCACGGGGTTGGTACTGCGACTGCAGGGAGTGGTGGCGACCAAGCCACTCCCACCGGTGAAACAGCCGGGAGGTCATTGGCGTCGGAAAACTTGGAATTACTGGATAACGGATGTACCTTTGCTAAGGTGGACGCACAGCTGGATGCCCCAGCCAAGCCATCCATTGTGGAGAGGCTGCGGGGTTCGTCGAGGAGTGGATCACCTAAGGCGGTGCAGGCTGAAAAAGCAGCGGTGACAGCGGACGGCGCGGTGGTCAGTCTCGGGGAGGTTGTGATTGGTCCGCTGAAAGAGGGTCAACGGTACGCCGCGGTCATAAAGACTGCGATGGCTGCCGTTGACCTGGAAAGAAGGCTCTCCCTGTGAAGAAGAAAGGGGGAAAGGCTGAGGGGTCTCCCGGAGCGCAGCCCGCTAGTGGATGAGATTCCTCCAAGTGAATCTCAACCACTGTCGGGCCGCTCAGGACCTGGTCCGGCGGGCGGCGTACGAGATGGGCACCGACGTGTGCATCGTCTCGGACCCGCACGCCGGATCGGTCCGGGACTCTGCCGGCTGGTTCTTGGACCGGTCCGGCAGAGCGGCGATCGGCGTGATGGACCGCGGCCTGACGGTCGCGGACATCGAGTCGGGCGACGGTTACGTAGTGGCAAGGATAGACGGCATGGACGTCTTGAGCTGCTACGCGCCGCCCAGCTTGCCGATCGCCGGACTCCTCGGGTCCGTGTCCTCCTGCCTACGGGCCAGGAGGCTCGGGCGGCCGCGCGACGGCAGAGGGGAGCTCGTGGCCGGGGATTTTAACGCTCACTCCCCGGTCTGGGGGTCGGCGGACACGAATCAGCGTGGCGAAGAGCTGTTGGACCTGATGTCAGCCCTCGGGCTGGTGTCGGCCAACAGGGGATCCACCCCGACGTTCGAGGGTCACTCCTCGAGCTCGGTGGTGGACGTCACGCTGGTGTCCCCGTCACTGCACCCGCACGTGACCGGCTGGTCGGTTCTCCCGTACAGGGAAAACCTCAGCGACCACCGGTACATCGTGTACGAGTGCGGCGATGGCGGCCGTCCCCCTCGAGCCGTGCCCCGC